ACTCTTTCCTCCACCACAGCCCCACTATGACATTTACGTTGTATTACAGAAAAAAAATTTAAATAATATCACATTTTTATGTAAAATGTTTCTGGAGAATAATAAAAATGAAGAAGAAGCCTTGAGAAGTCACTCTGACTCTCATATGGGGTCACTCTGACTCCATATGTTGAATTTTCCTTGCCCTATAATTCTCTAAGGGTTGCTATATGGATCAGGTAAAATCATAGATTGAGGAATAGTTTGAGAGAAGACAAAAGAAAGATGTAGTCAGAATCACCTGGAGGGCTTACTCACATTACTTACACATTCTCCTGCCTTGCCCACTCCCATCCCTCCCTGAATGCTAGGATCTTGGTGACATGTGTATGTTATACTGCTTAGTTGTACTGAACTAGATTATCTCTGGAGCCCTTTTCAGTACCAACATTTTATAACTTAATGAATATAAAGTGCTATTCAAGTAAAAGACACTATTTTTAAACTATATGAAAACTTTAACCTTTATATTGCATTCATAATGAACTCTTGTATTAACTGAGGTAAACTGTGCACATGAGTAGCTCCCTAACTAATCTACATTCTCTATATCCTTTTATATAGGAAAAGTATCTAATGTAAAGGCAGTCAGGGTGACTTCAGAATCAGAGAACTGTGTTCAAATTATGTCTTCAGGGCTTCCCTGGTGGCGCAGTGGTTGAGAGTCTGCCTGCCGATGCAAGGGACATGGGTTCGTGCCCCAGTCCGGGAAGATCCCACATGCCGTGGAGCGGCTAGGCCCGTGAGCCATGGCCGCTGAGCCTGCGCTCTGCAACGGGAGAGGCCACAACAGTGAGAGGCCCGCATACCACAAAAAAAATAAATAAATAAAAAAATTATGTCTTCAACACATAAACTCATAATAGCTGTGTGATCTTAGTAAAGTATTTAATTCCTTTAGATATTTATTCATTCAATAAAAACTTACTGAGCATATACTTTATGCTATATCCTTGGGAAACTCTTTTGTATCCACGAAACAGCCCCTACCTTCAGGAAGGTTAGAGAAGACAATCAAATGATCACACAAATCTATCATTACAAATTGTAATAAATGTTATTTTTGTTTTAACAAATAAAAAGCCCCCTTCCTCTCCCTTTTGCTCTTCAATTCACAAAAATTTAGTGCTAAAGCCATCAGATGCTGCAAAGCACGATGGACAACTAGATGGCTAAGCAGAATAATGGCTAAGCATGGGGTGTTAGAACCCACTGCAGAGACTGACTGAGCATGGGAGTCAGAGTCCAAGTAGGTTGAGGAGGGAGTACATGCTGTGGGAGCTCAGGGTACAGGGCCACATATAGAGTTCGAACTCAAGTAGGATAAAGAGGGGTTCCATGAATGTGAGCCACCTAGCACAGGTTCTCAAAGCTTGAGCAGGATGCCCACAGGAAGGGGTGGGATCAGAGTCCAAACTGGGTGAAGAAGACTTCTGGGTAGGAGGGTGGCCTGGCACAGGTGTCAGAATTGAGCAGGGTGAGAAAGACATCATGCAAAAGGGTGACATGGGGAAAGTGTCAGAACTCAGGTGGAGTGAAGTAGAAGTCTGCAAGATGTCAGAACCTGAGTGAAATGAGGAAGGTATCTGCATGAAGGTAGAGGCAACAGCAGCAACAATGACAGATTGGTTATAGAGTGGGGAACTGATAAAATAAGTAAGTATATGAAAGATAATGGAAGCTAGGTTTTTGAAGAAGGGAGAAAACTAGAATTAACAAGCAGAGTTTGAAATTGGACATATCAGTATGGACCCAAAGTTTTCAACATATAGAAATAAATATAGATGTATATACGTGAGTGTGTGTATAAATCTACATGCAGACACACACACACACACACACACACACACACTCACACACACACACCCTAGCAATGAGCATATCTAGCACCCAAATTTTCTTCTAATTATCACTTTCCACTAAAATGAATCAGGGCTCCTTAGAGAAATGGCTAAACCAAGGACTAGAGTAGGAAAAGTACATGAGGTTGGTAAATATAAAAGACTCCCCCCCACCTTTCTGTAATTTCTTTAAAAGAAAATTGACTGTTTAAAGCAAAAGTAGTAACAATGCAATGTGGGGTTTATGATATATATAATTAAAATGTATGATAACCAGAGTGCAAGGATGAGAGAGCAGAAATAGAAGTGTATTATTCGAAGATTCTAACACAATATGGGAAGTTGAAGACAGACTGTTACAATTTACAATGTATAATGTAAGCTCTAGAGCTGAGTTCTTAACCAGGGCAATTGTGCTCTCCCTTTTGCCCCTGGATATTTGGCAATCACTAGAGACATTTTTTATTGTTATGACAGGAGGGTGTGCTACTGGTATCTAGTAGGTAAAAGCCAGGAATGCTGCTGAACATCCTATAATGCACAAGTCAGCCCCTCATAACAAAAAATTATCTGGTCCAAAATGTCCATATGTGGAGGTTGAGAACCCTACCCTAAGCAATTATTAAAAAAAAAAAAAAAAAAGTAGAGCTATAAGCCAATGTAAGAGATAAAATAGAATCCTTTTTCTTAAAAAACTCAATAAATCTAAAAGAAGACAGTAAAATGGGAGAAAAGAAAGCAAAGCATACAGAAAACAAATAAAAAACAATTATTAAGATAGTAGACCTAAACTCAATCATATTGATAATTATATCAAATATAAATGGACTAAACACTTCAATTAAAAGGCAAAGATGGTCAGAATGGATAAAAAAGTAAGCCCTGACTATACAATGTTCATAAGAGATGTATTTTAAATACAAAGGCACAGATGGGTTAAAAGTAAACAGATGAAAAATATGATGCAAACCCTAATTATAAGAAAGTTGGAGTAGCAACATTAATATCAGAAAAGGTAAACACCAAAATAAGGAGTACTGCCAGAGAAAAAGAGCAATGTTTCATTATAAAAAGGAAGTCAATTCATCAAGAATATACAACAATGTTTCATAATAAAAAGGAAGTCAACTCATCAAGAATATACAACAATCCTAAACGTGCATACACCTAATAACAGAGCTCAAAATACGTGTGACAGCAACTGACAAAGGGAAAAATGTACAAACCCACAATTACAGCTGGAGGTTTTTACACTCCTTTCAATAACTGATACTACAAATAGACACCACCCAAAAAAGGAAAATTTGATCAATTTGTCTTTTGTGCTTGTGTCAAAAGAATTTAGAAGCCAACTTGAAGAGGCTCCCACTGCAACAGATTGGACAATTTGAGCACCAAAAGAATATTTGTGATGGATTGACAGACATCAGAAATCTTAATGATATGGGGAATAAAAATCTTATTGGTCACTGAACCATCTCATTATCTGAAAACATATAAATAAACAGAAATAATTCCTGTATGAACTGTACCTCAGGATAACCCATGGTAGTAAGTTAAAGTTCTTTAAGAATTCCAGCTAATAAATGAAGAAAATGAAGATAAAATTCATTTTGCAACTACCAATAAAATAATGATC